TGGCGCACACCTGTAACCCTAGCACTTGGGAGACTGAGGCAGCCCTGCTGCTTTAAAGGTAAAGACTCTGACATTCCCCCTTGTGGTGGGTTGAAAACCGGTGGCAACTTAAATACCAGCTAATGGAATCCGCATGGTGCTGAGTATAGATGGCCGCCTGAGGACTGTTCCCATTCACATAAAAGGAGACTTGGAGAGGAAGAGCTGTTGCTGTTGTTGGTGCTGTTGGTTCTCCTGTTGCCGTGGGTTCTCCTGGAGGAGCTCGTTGACCTTCTTTCCTGATATGAACTTGGCTGTTCTCATCGTCAGAGGAGCGCAGGACCTTATTGTCGCTGAGAGTGGCTGTGGTTCACCTTGGGGGAGCTCTGGTCCTCATGTTGAGCATCACTTCCTGGCTCCAGAGAGGAAGATGTGTGCTGTTCAGTCTCCAGAAGTCTATTGTGCTGGCCTCCTGATACGAACTCAGCTGTTCTTGTCAGAGGAGCTCAGGACCTCGTGGTCACTGAGGATGGCTGTGGTGCTTTTGGGGGAGCCCTGGTCCTTACTTTGAGCATCACTTCTTGGCTCCAGTGTAGAACCCTCAACCCACTCGCACAGATCCTTCACCCCGATGGCACAGACTTTCTGGCTTCCACCACTGACCTTGGGGTCTTCCCAGAGCAGATCCATGAAACAGACTTACATGAGTCATTGTCGTGGGCTCTAGGCCTTCAGTGGGGCTCGTGGGAGGCATTGTCTTGGGCTTTAAGTCTTCATTTGGTCTCCTGCAGGACATTGCTGTGGGATCCAGGCCCTTGGCTGAATTTTCTAGCTCGTTAGTGTGTGGACAGAGTTCCTGGGGTGACCATCATAAATTCTGTGTCCTGTATGTAACTGTTCTCCTTGCAATCCTGACTACAATATCCCTTTGTATTGTATTTTGAAATCTTTCTTAAATATTTTCCATAGAACAAAACTCTTTCCAGTGGGAAATGTTTTACTCAAAAGATAAACTGTTGAGATTTATAGAGCCAGGTGTGGTGGTGCACACCTGAATCCTAGCACTTGGAAGGCTGAGACAGGACGTTCACCAGGAGTTTGAGGCCAGCCTGGAAGACTGTGTCTCAAAACAAAACAAAACAAATGTATAACCCATTAACAACAAAAACGTAACTCTTAGATCATTACAAAATTGTGCTACCACACACACGGTCTATCTTCGTAGCTTTAAAAATCATGTTATTGTTGATATTTATGCTCCAAACTGTAAGCATCCTGTACAGATATTGGCACCATAACTTAGAAAATAACATACAACACACTTGTCATGAGAAAAGCCCAAAATCTTTGCTTTTAAACTTTGTAAGGCTTTTCTGCAAAGCACAATGATTTTAAAACCACATTTTAAGTACTTCATATAAGCAAAGATTAGATAGTAAAATAATATCACTTTGTCCATCACAGAAAGCAAGCAAACCTTTTTACCAGCTCTTCAAATGGTCCAGGGTAGGCCAGAGAAACCCACCACAAACAGATCGGATAAGTCACAGACGCTAATTCTCTACACCAAAAACTTCTGTTTTCTTAACACCAACAATGGCTAGAATATTAAATGAATTGTAATTAAACTATTAACTTTAGGATTTTTTTTTTAATTTTTTAAGCAGGGTTCAGGCTGGCCTTGAATTTGCAGCAATCCTCCTGCTTCGCCTCCCATGTGCTGGGATTACAGTCATATTTTAAATGAATGAACAAATAAAACCTTCAATCACTTGCATATATTATTTAATGTTCACTATTAAATTGTTCTTATATAGTTTGACAAAAGACTCCATTTGGGAATACTTTACCTCTAATTACCCTAAAACGTATCAAAGGTTCAGATATCTTTTGATCTTATATCAGTGTTATACAAATACATGGGTATCAACTATTTGTGAAATTCATTAATCCAAACACACTGTCAGTTATAAATTTTAAGGAGCAAAGAATATATGAATTTATACTTAATAAATGTCTTTATTACTTTAAATGAATTATAAATAACTCAGATGTCTTATTTACATGCCTAATTAAGTTCATTATTAACAGCTGTCTCCACATTCCTATACACTATAAAACATCTGACAAAGAGAAGTTAATATCCCAAGACAACTTTTCCTTCCTGAAGACAAAGCTTCTGGAGGCTGCAGTGGACACTGGAAATCGCATGGACAAGGCTAGGAGAGAATGCTGTCTAGGAATGAGGGTCTGGCGTAGCCCAGACTGGGCTCCAACTCACCTTAGCTCTGCTGCCTAGGGCTCCCGAGCAGGGACCACAGGTCCCTGGGTCCTAAGGGTACAAACTGAGCTCAGCAGGTGTGAGCTGCCCCAGCACAGCTAGGCGAGCTGGTCTGGGTGTTCCTTCCATGCAGGCATCTCCTGAATCCGAACCCAGCACAGTGTGCAGAGGAGAGCCACATATTTGTGCTGCAGGCACGCAGCATTGTGACACGGGGTTCCTCACAGCATGGGACTGTGTAGCAGAGGAGCCAGGGCTTCCATGCCGGATTGAGAAACCGTGTGTGGGTGGGTGTCTGTGGGTGTCTGTGTGTAGGTGTGGGGGCTGTGCATGGGTGTATGCATGGGGTGTCTATGTGTGTCGGACTATGCATGTGTGTGTGGGTGTGGGTGTGTGCATGTGGGTATGTCTGTGGGGGGGTATGCATGTGTGTGTGTGGGCAGGTGTGTGCCTGCAGTGGGCTCTGCACAGCACAGTCATCTGTGGGGAAACTCAAGGCAGACCTGATGGGGTGCAGGGTGCCAGGCAAGCTTCCTGAGGCTGGGCCATGCACATCCCAAAGGCCTCAGTGCAGGATGGGGTGCTGATCCTACTGTGGCTTCCTCACAGCTGCTGGCAGCTGGGCAGCATGTCTGCAAAGGATGGTTCCTTTCGACTCTACGCTCTAATCTCCCCCCCACTCTGGGACACCCGAAGTCCCCGCCAGGCACGGACTTGTGGTTGCTCCAGTCCCCTCTATCACTGAGAGTAGCCAATCTTTCCATCTTGTGCCTTAACTTTACCAGAGGGACAATTCCAGCAACACCAAGGACAAAACAACCAGCTTTTGGAGACCCCAGGAAGTCCAAACGCAAGTGACGGAGCAGGGAGAAAGCGGCTTCAGGAGTGGACGGAGCGGTCACTACCCCTGCCCAGGCATCCCAGTGAGTGAGCATCCACAGCACAGGGAGCTTCAGCCAAGGCTGATCAAGAGACAGAGGAGGTCACAACATCCTCGAAAAGGGGACAATCCCAGAGGAAGAGAGAACAATCACAAATGTGCAGGCAGCAAATACCAGGGCACTCAATGACATAAAACTACAAAACAGACATGAAAATCAAATAAGCAGTAATGCAATTGCACTGGGAGACCTCAACACCCCACTGGCACAAAAAGGCAGACAAAAAGCAATAATGAAATAGTAGAACTAAACCAAGCTTTTGAACAAATGGGTTTAGTATACAGAGTGTTCCACCCCACAGCGTCAGAGCACACATTCTTCTCAGGTGCAAACAGGACGTTCTCCAAAAGAGACTGCCCACTGACCTATGGAACAAGCTTAAGGAAATGCAGGGGAACTGAAGTTATCCCGTGAAGCTCCCAGACCGCAGTGCAGTGAAACCAGAAATCCACACCAAAAGAAACCACAGCTCAGCTGCCGCAGGAGATGCCACTCACGGTGCCCCAGGGGCCCGACAGGTCACCCACGTTTAAGACCAAGGGCAAGAAGTGAGGAAGGGTTTCCAGTGCTCACTGCAGCCTCCCAGCACTGTGGATCCAAAGAGCTCCATGGCTGGGGTTCCAGATGCAAACCACTCCCCGGTTCCCTGTCCGTCCTCAGTTTCGGAGACCTAAGAGCACCGTGACTGCTATGCACTATTGCTACAGACAGGCTCAGTTATTGGGGTTCTCAGGGCTGTCCCCCAGCTCTGGGGGTGTGGAGAGTTCATTGCAGTGGGGATAATGGAGGCTCCCCAATTTTCAGAGCAAGGGATGTGACAAGTCCATCACTTCAGAGATCTCAAGGTGGCTTCTGAAGTGCCCCAGCATGGTGACAGCAGAGGGGCGGCTTCCCAGCAGCCAGGTCTTCAGAACTGCTCTTAGGGTCACCCCAGGAGTCCCCAGGACCCCGCTTCAGCTGCTCTATGGGAAGCACATGGCACCCGGGACTGAGGTGTGTACTGGTACCAGGGGCAGGAAGGGTGTCCCACCAGGGAGGCCTCAAAAGCCTGGCAGCTACCTCCTCTTGAGCCCTGCTGCTCCCAGGAGCTTCCCGCCTCCAGACTCTCGCATACCTCACTGGCTTGGGGACCTGTCAGTCACCAGGCTACCAGCACCCACACTGCCCTCTCCCTCAGGGCTGCTTCCAAGAGCAGATGGGGCCACACTTACTATCTGCCTGGGCACGTTCTCTTTCCTACAATGGGGCACCGGGGTCACAAGTTTCAGCCCTGCCTGGGCAACTCAGTGAGACCCTGTGTCAAAATAAAATATAAAAACGGCTGGAAATGCAGGTCAGGGGTAGAAGGCCCCTGGGTTCTGTCCCAAGTACCACAATTTTAAAAAATAATAAAAATTAAAACAAAGGGTCTGTGGAAGGTTGGAGACCTTAGTTCTTTGGATTTTGTTGTTTGCTTGACCTAAGGTTTGGGGCCTGGATCATTCCCAACCCCCAAAATACCACCCTGGCTGATTCAGTGTCTGAATGCTGCTGGCCTGGGTGACAAGCCAAGGGCAGGAGCTAAAGGACAGCGGAGTGTGGCAGCATGGTAAGAGATAAATTAAGCACTGCCAGGACAGAGCAGGCAGCAGCCAGGTGAGGCTGTCCCTACCCACACCCCAATGGGAAGAGTCGGAGGCTTTCTCCACACAAGTTAAATCAAGGCAGTGGCGGGCTCCTGGCAGAGAGTAGGGGAATTCCAGGATCAAGAACAGAAGGGGAACGGTCTCTTTTGGGATCCCGCTGCAGTTCAGCTTCTGGAATCCCCGTGGCCAGGTCTGTGAGCTCCATCATCAGATGAGGTCCTGCGAGATGCTTCACAAGTCTCCGATCCACAGAGAAAACAGCTCTGGGTTTGGGGGCCCCTCGAGAGAAAGGCCACCCACAGCCTCACTACCCAGGGACCCCTGGCGACAAGCTTTTGATCAAGCTTTTGACCTACACAGGAGTGAAGGCCTGGGTGAGTCATTGGGCATTTCAGAGAAGTGCTTGGCAGGAAGAGAGGAACCAAAAGACAGAAACAAAGCCAGCACCCGGGCCAGGGGAGAAGAGGGAACTAGCAGAGATGTCTGGAGAATAACAACCCAGGATATCCTCGAGGGAAGGAGGGCACTGGGGCCCCTGCCCCACTGGTGAGGACCCTAAGAGAAGATCACAGAGGGAAAGGAGGGCCGGAGAGAGGGAGATTTCCTGGGAGGTTGGGATTAGAATTCAGTTAACACCAGGGTGCAGACACTGTCCACGCAAGCCCTGTTCTCTGTGACTTCAGGGCACAGCTGTTCAACCCCAAACTGCGCTAAGTTTGCTAAAAGGTCCCAGAGCTGCCTGACAGCCGTGTGTACACAGATATGGTCAACACTGGGCACAGTTACAGATTCATGCCGGCCAGAAAAAACAAAACACAACAAAGCACAGCATTCCTGTTTAGAACAGTGCAGGGTGGAGACAGGATGCGTCCTTCCCGGTCACCATTGTTGTAACCCACCCAAAAAGAAGGCCCCGTGATGAAAAATGGGGCAAGATCCCCGAGATGATAAATGGGGCAAGACGTTTTTTTTTTTTTAAAGAAGCACTTTTATTTTAGCTGGCCCAGCGACACAGTGCAGATGGAATTTGCAAAGCTGTGCAACTGAGTTAGAGTTTTGACTGATTTTTATAGTTCATTTATGATGAGCTCATTGATCATTAAGTACATAGTGATGAGAAACAGAAATAAGGTGGGCCTTTGTTCCCCTTTGCTTGAGGTCAGAGGCATTTCATAGTGGGTGGTTAGCCAACTCATAGCCCTTGGTCTGTCAATTCCAGGAACATTTGTCTCTCATAAAGGGAACAATGGTTGACACAGCATCATTTGTCTCTTACAAGGGGAACAAAAGTTGACATAGCACACAGGTTACTTGCGGGGGGGGGGGGCGGGTTGTACAGAACAGCATAACGACGCGGTCAGTTAATTTATAACTATGTGGTTGGTGCCTCGTTACTAGGGTAACGAGCTCAGTACAGAACAACAATACTGCTAATAACTATCTTTTTAACTATTTTTGCTAATTATCTTTTAATCAATTATTTTAATTTTTCAGCATCTTAGTATAAGAACCACGTGCTTGCCAGGGATGCCAGGCTGAGCTTCGGGGCTCACCTCTGCCCATTCCTGTCCCCACCCAAAGTGATGTCACCCATCCTTCAGGTGTGCCAGCCCAGGGCTCAGACTGCCCTCGGTGTCCACCCTTCCTCTCGGCTCACTCCCTTCCATGCATCCTCCTGAAGAAAGGACTGAGGCCAGCGTGGAAATAGGAAATGCACCAAAACTCGTGGATGTATAGTTCAGTGTACTGTAGAAGTAAGTAAAACCCACGCACCCTCTGCTTCTGTTTTCCCACCCTTGCATCTTGGGCCACACTTGGAACTTGCTTTGATCAAACTCTCTCCCCCACTCTTGATGTCTTGGTTTCGTTTTGTTTTATCTTGGGTGCTGAGGGTGGAAGCTGGGACCTCACACATGCCAGGCAAGTGCTGTACCCTGAGCTGAACCCCAGGGCCAGGCCTGGAAGCTCCTGTGCTGGCCAGTGATCCCAGAGTGTGCCTGCACTGTGGGTCTGTCCTGTGGTCAGAATGCAGCTATGATCTTCAAGAGGAATGTTCTAGAAGGAATGGTGGCCTTCCTCAGTGATGAGACGCATCTAGTTCTTAAAAGTGCAGAGGTTTGGAGAATACTCAAGAGGAGACACAAGAGACCAACAAAATATGGCTCAAGTGACTCCCAAACCTTGGCCTCTCAGAGGCCTGCTCAGTCACCGCCCTTGTGCAGGGAGCAGCACTCCCATCACTGTGCCGACTGGCCTGTGGGAGTGATGGCCTGGCACTGGGCCATCCCTGCCAGCCAGTCTGCAACAAAGATAGCTCTGCAGAGCCAGCCCCAGGAGGGCAGCCATCCTCCAAGTGGCTGTCCCCTGAAACCAGGAGAAATAATCAAAATCTCATCACTGGAGCCATTTGGTTGTGAGAAAAAGCTAAAGTCAGCAAAGACAAGCCTGGTGTCAGGAAAACTGCAGAAACGGTGCCCACAGTGATGGGGTAACAGGTGCCTGTACTTCCTGTCTATTTCAGAGATGTGCACTGAGCCCAGGGTGGTGGTGTACCCCTGCCATCCACCCCAGCACCCTGGGAGGATGAGGCAGGAGGGTCAGAAGTGTGAGCCCAGCCTGGCAACTTAGCAAGATCCAGCTTCAAAATAGAAGTTTTAAAAATGGAAGTGGAGGACAGAGCTCAGTGCGAAGGCCCTGGATCAAGTCCTCCCAGTAACAGCAACAGTGATGCGATCAAGCAGCAAACCACTCGATGGATCCCCCGAGATGTCACGGCCCCCCACAAAGCCCCTGGAAGTGGAATGTGCTGCTCACTGGAAACGTTGGGCACAGTCAGGCTATGCCACCCTCGCTCCGCCACGAAGCCCATCATGGGCTCTCGGTTCCTCCCCTGAGAGCAGTGGCACAAGGTGCTCGCCAGGGCGGGGGGGGGACAAGCACTCCCATTGCGACTTCCAAGGAACACACCTCACAGGCGGGGCCCCGCACCTCCGGGGGCCCTGGGAACATCCCCATCCCCCAAGAGCACCAGGACCACAGCTCGGCCAGAGGGGGCACCTGGACTTCCACTTGGAGAGCAGTCGGGACAGCTGGTCCCCGCTGTCAACATCACAGGATGTCCAATGCTAGCTGGGGAAGCATCCCTCCGGACGGTCAGTGGGGGTTCTCTGCAAGAGACCAGCATGGCTTGGTGGGCGGTGGGGCAGGGGGGCAGCCCATGCCAGGGCCTGGAAGGATCACAAGGCTGAGACAGGCTGGCCCATCCCCATGACCACGCGTGAGCAGCCAGGATGAGGGAGTGAGAAGGGGGGAGGGGGCTGCGCACCCACCCCTAGCTCTTGGCTTCACACCTGGGCTGGAGGCCACACCACGCCACCTGGTGTGCAGAGCATAGCTGTCTCTGCTTCTGCAGGTGTGGGGTCCGCCCTTGAGAGTGTCTTTCTGAGTATAGACAGGTGCTGACCTGCAGGGATGGAGACTGAAATGAGGGGGAGGTGTCTCGCGCTGTTGAACCTGCTCCCTTCACCCCAGCTCTGCCCTACATGGGTCTCTTAGGCCCAGATGACACCCCAGCCGGCCTTTCCAGAGGTCTTGCCACTCGGGGTCCACCCCTCCCACCCAGGCCAATCCCTGCCATCCCTCAGACCCAGGGGACATGCACACGTCCATGGGGTGTGGGAGAGACAGAGGAAGAGGCTGGTCCACGCCCTCACCACCCCGTCGCCTCCACCCGTAGGAGGCAGAGGTGCTGGGGAAAGGAGTCTCTCCATGGACTGAGGCTGGCACAACGGCCACTGTGCGGGCCTGGAGTGTGACCGGTCCCAAAGGTCACAGGGCTCGTGAGCTTTGCGGATCATTTCTCTATCAACCCAGAGGCTGAAAATGGATCTCACAAGAAAGGAAAGAGAAACATATTCAGGGCAAGCCCACAGGAAGCAAAGCAAAGATTGAAGAGTCCTTGCTTTCAGGGACACAGATGTCACACACGAAATTGCCCAGCGCAGTGCCGGGTCAGCCCCGGCCACGCCCCTGTCACACACCACCTTCGGCCCCATGGGGCCAGAGCTGGGCACAGAACCCTCCCAGCTCCCTGACCCTCCACCCCAGGGCTAGACGTGTACTGGGCTGCGTGCTCCCAAAGCTGTTCTGGTTACATGACAAAAATAGAAAGCCTAGACTGCGTATGAAAGAGATTTTTTACAGTACATATTCACAAAGTGACTATTTACATTCCATATTCATGAAATGAATATTCACGAGCGTAGTAGCAGATGCCTGGGATCTCAGCTTTCAGGAGGCTGAGACAGGAGGATCACTGTGAGTTTGAGGCCAGCCTGGGCTACATCATGAGTTTAAGGCCAGTCTGAACTGCCTAAGGAGACCCTGTCTCAAAAACAAAACAAACCGGGCCAGGAATTTAACTCAGTGGCAAACTCAAGGTCATGAGTTTGATCCCCAACACCAAAATCAAACAAATAAACAAAAATGACATGTTCATGGATGGTGGCTTGAGGAGCAATACCAGAACAAGCGGAAGGAAGGGCGAGGAGGGGCAGAGAGGGGTGGCGCGGAGCTCCCACATCTCACATGACAACAGGGCCATGTGGCTTGTTGAGCTCCAGGTGCTCCAGGTGAGCCAGGCCTAGCCAGAGCCAAGCCCACCAAGCCCAGGGCCAGGGTGCCTCTGCCTGGGCCCTGGGGTTCCCAAGCACCCACCAACTGTTCCGCGCAGCCTGGTCCCAGCCCACCAGCTCCCTCGCCTGCCGTCCTGAGATACAGCTCCCAGTGAGCATGGGATGAGCATCTCGAGGGAGCAGGTAGCTCCCAGCCCTGCTGAGGCTAAGGCGGAGGCCCATGGAGTCTTCGCACTCTGAGACACCAGACCGGCACAGCTGCCTGCCTGCCATCTCCTCGGTGACCCAAGGTGTGAGGCAGGAGTCACCCTGGGTGCCACTGGGCCCAGCTCACCCTGAATACTGGGACACCGGTGTCACTCCAGCTGGCCAGCAAGAGCAAAGCTGGGCACTTTGGGTGGCCTCAGTGTCTGTACAGTGGAGGGAGCTTGGCTGATGTATTTATTGACTTTCTGGCAGGACTGGGACCTTCACGCTGAGCCAGGTCCTGGTGCTTTTCTCACTCGTGTTGAGACAGAGTCTCGACAGGTTGTTAAATTGTCCAGCCTGGCCTCAAATTTATAACTCTCCTGTTGAGACAGGAGAGTAGCAGGAAGACAGGCATGCACCACCATGCCCAGCTCATTTTCAGACTATGTAACCCACATGCATGAAAAATATTTAAGGGCATACTGGTGTAGCTTGGTGCAACTGACGCCATCTTGAGCCCTGCATTTAACTCGTGCTCTGTATTTGACCCAGGAAATAGAAAAGTACTCAGGATACAAGTCCCATAAGAAAAACAGATTGAGCTGTACCAACAGGAAAAAAATTAACCTGCTCAACAAAATCAGCAGGATACAGGTGTCAACCAAAAATTGATGAAAGATTAGAGCTAAATTGTTTCCAACAGGATGTGTTTTGTGATTCTCTGTTTTAAAAGCTCTGTAACTTTCCAGTTTGGGGCCATTTGTTTGGACCCTAAACCAGGGAGGTCTGTATAGGACTGGTCCTGAGCTCAGTTAATTAAATTCCAGATTCATCAATTTGGCTGCTCAGATTCCTATATTGTTGCTCTCATACCCACCTCACATATCATTTTAAAAAGAGAAACTAAAAGTTCCACATTGCACGCCTCCCCTGCCGTGGAGTGCAACCTAGGCTGATCCTCCACTGGATCTTAAAGTCCTAATTATTTTTCTGTTAAAGGAACAATGTTGCACCAAGGCCTGTTTCCTGGCTTGGCCACATATGAAGGGAAAAAGTCTTCATTTGTAACAAACATAGACTGAAATATTTAGGCAAAAATAAAAACTGAAATTTTCTCTGTATCTGAGGTGGGAAGGGGTACAGATGTGGTTAAATGTTAAGAACTGGAAAACTAAGTGACAGGCATGATGGGAATTTTCTGCAGGGCTTTGTGGCCTCCCAGGAGCCTGCGGTACTGCAGAGGGAGATGAACACGGCATGGCAAGGTTTCCTGTGTCACCACTGTGTCCTTCAAAGGCTGCTGCGTGCTCTGTTATCCGGGTGATCGAGGGGCATTCCACTGCTTAGCCTGGGTCTTGAGACCAGTTTTCAGTGCAAAATTTATATGCAAAAACTCTCAGATCTTAGTACTTTTATTTTCACACAAAATAAAGAGCCAGAGATGAGATTTCTGGGAGGAAATTTTCACTATATTTTTATTTTTTACAGATCAATTATTTTAATTGGCAAATAAACATCATATATTTGTCATGTGCAGCGTGATGTCTTCAGAGATGTACTCACTACCTAGTGGGTATAGCTGTTAGCTGACATGCGTCACCTGTGCATTTACCATTTCCTAGGTGAGGTCACTCACAACCGCCCTCTCAGCCATTTCCAAGATGACTGTGCATTGACGGCCAGAGTCTCCTGGTGTCTGTGTTAGACTCCTCCCGCGGGTCTTTTACAAGCTGGAAGCTGAACCATGATTGCTGCTGCCGCCAGTGCTGCATTGGAAAGGCGGCTTGTAGACAAGGGAGGATGGCACAGTGTCCCCACCCACCTTCCTGATCAGACCTGACACCAGGTGACTGCGGGCTCTTCTCCAAAGTCAAAGTAACCCGGCCACAACAGCACCACTAGGAACAGCCACCAAAGAGGATCTCTACGCTGGGCAGGACGAGGCAGGGAGATGGGACACATGCATCCAGAGAGGGAAAGACAGCTGGAAATGCCCTCAGCTTGGGGCAAGTCCAAGGCCTAGACTTTCTCAAAGACAATTTTTATTAGTTTCTTTTATTCTTGTGAATGAATCATACTTTTTTTTCCCTTTTCCTTTAACTGAAATTAAGCAATTTCTTTCTTTATTCAGCTTTTCTCTGATGGTGGTAGGCCTTTTACTTGACTCCAATATTCCACAAAAGTTGAATCTGGCAATTTTTGCCAAGTTATTCATAATTTTTGGAGTCTGAAAGCTTCTGCCCCACTGTTTCTTGGGATAATACCCTTCATTTTTTTTCTCACAATAGCATGTAAATTCACAAATTGAAATCTGAAGCTTAATGAAAGTTATTAAAATGTAAATTAAAATATTGTCAAAGAGGGAAATTCAAAAAATGCTGTCTTCATAGTTGAACCAGGTTAAATAGTTAAGCACATAAATAAATACAAACAAAGTGATCAGGCAAGTCAATTAGCAGACACAAACGAAATGTCCCATTCCTCAGACAGAGAATGCACATTTGGCATTTACCATGATGAAAACTGAGCAATCTCTTAGGTACAAAGAAGATCTTAAGAAATTTACAAACTAAGAAATCGATGGACCATGTACTCTAACCATAATTTAACAAAAGCAGAAATTGCTAGTAAAAAGAATAATTAGCCAGGCATGGTGGTGCACTCCTGTAGTCCCAGCACTCAGGAGGCTGAGGCAGGAGGATTGTTGAAAGTTTGAGACCAGCCTGGGCTACAAAGTGAGCCCAAGGCCAGCCTGAACTGCATAGCTAGGCCTTGTCTCAAAAAGACATCATCATCATAATAATAATAATAATAATTATTCCTTTACAACTTAAGGAAGGAGAGGTTTGTTTTGACTCTCTTTTCAGAAGTTTCAGTCCATGCTCCACAGGCTTAAACACAGAAAAGGCTTAAACAAAGCAACGCCACGGTGGGTGAGTCTGCATAGGAAAGTTGCTCACATCATGATGAACAGGAAGCAGAGAGGGAAGGCGGAGGCTGGCAGTGGAGAGGCTCCCTCACATCACTGTCCTGCCTCTTTGGAGAGACTCCACTCCCTAACAGCACGTCAGCTATGTCATCCCGTGATCTAACTGCCCTTCAAAAGCCCTGCCTATGAGTGCATGAGGCCTTGGGGGACATCTTTGACCAAACATAACACCCGCCTCATGCCACATCTGAAAAATTAAAACCTAAACTAAAACGATACAAATCCAGACAGAAGTCTGGGCGACTCTGTTCATATTTGATCACAACTCACAGCTGAAGGGAAAGATCCTTAGGGTCTTTGACTGGCTCCATTTTGGAGAGGAGCCCGGGTTTCATGGTTGGCACTCCTGGCTCTGATGCAGGAAAAGAAGAGACTCTCTGTGCCTTTCACCTACCGTGGGAGAGCCATGGGCCTCTCTGGATGGCACCTTTGGGCTGCGCCCTAATCCCTGATTCATCTGCATACAATACTTCTCATCCCCTGGCTACCTCTGGGGACATGCTGACATTAACTTCCTCCGAGTTTGATTTAGGATCCCAATAGATGAGAAGACAATCACAGTCCTGACTTTAACACACAGGATAAAACTCACAGAGCAAGGCTTCTCTGCAGAAGGGGGTGCTGGGCCTCCTCACCCCTCCCCTCAGGGCATTAGTAATCAGGACTCCTCTCCAGAAAACAAACCCTACATCCCTGGTAGGAAATCTATTTCGCAGGACACTGCCATCTGTGTATTGGCCTCAGGTCAGCTAAACCTAAGTCACTTGCTGAGGTGGACAGGCTGGAAGACGGAAAGAAGACTTCATCTTGTAGCAGTGTCAAAGATTTTGGAAGCGCCTAGACTGAGGATGATGCTTTAGGATGAAAGAAAAAGAATCACAGTTCAATTGGCTTAAACATAGTATTAGTTCACTTTCCATTGCTATAATGATGTTGGAGGCTGGTAATTTGCAAAGAAAATGTTTATTTTGCACACTGTTCTGAAGGTTCAAGAACACAACCCTGGCATCTGTTGGGCTCTAGGGAGAGTTTGACAGTACATGGCATCACAGTGATGGGAGCACATGTGGCAGAGACCACGTGCCAATACAGGAATCAAAAGACTGGGAGGAACCAATCTTGGTCTTTTTTTAACAATCTGCTCTTGAGAGAACCAACCAACCTCCCATAAGGGCTACATTAATCCTTTGCGAGGGGGATGCCCAGTGAGCTAACTGCTCTTACTTGGGTTCACCTTCCAAAGGTCAAGCGCCTCTACAGGTCAAGCACCACCCCGAGGACCAAACTTCCAGCTTGAGCCCTCTGGGGACAGATCAAAACTACGGGAAGGACAAGGAACAGGTGCTGGGCCATGTGCCTAACCATTTTTAGAACTTTCTTTTGGGCTCTACCCCTCATCCTGGCTTTTCCACAAGGGCAGAAGCAAGTCCAGGCCTCTCAATCTGCCACCAAAACAGCACTGTGTCACCTGTAAAAGCAGGGATGCTTTTCTAAGAGAACCTTAGCAACCTTGCCCACGAGTCTGCTTGGTGAGAGTTAGTCTCACACACACCCCTGACACCCTTTGCGGGAGTCTGAGATGCTATGACCTGTAATTGTGTTAGATCAGCTGCACGTTTGTACAAAAACAGCTCCACGTCTGGGGAATTTGTCCCAAGGCGCGATTGCAGCCCCCTCCCCACGGGGTGTGGATCTCACATCGCTGTACATCAGCACTAAATGTCACCATTGGACCACGATCCCTTAGCAACCCTGAAATGCTCTCCGACTGTGACTGTTCTAACCTGTTTTTCAAAAAGTTTAGCAAGGGGTGCAGTAACTGAGCATCAAATAAAATCAAATCATGCACATGCGGGAAGAGGAAGGAAGTCACTATGCCAATCACAGGGATGGTGGCTGTCATCAGGTGACTCACCATTTTCCTGGGCAGAAAGGGGAGCAACCCATGCCCCACAGGACTCTCCTGGCAGGAAGGGAAAAGCCACATCAGCCTTTGCACACTCCCTGAAAGATTCATTGCACAGAGTGGGGAGGGTGAACCCCAAAGAGGGCTGTCTTCAGACAGCATTGCGTCACCCGTGGGGAAGTGCACGCCACTGCACACTTCTGGTAAATCCCTTCAGCGTGGCCCTGGAATCCAGCCCATGGGGCAAGGCTGGCTTCCTGCAGGTCAAACAGGGGTTCCTCTGAGGGTTGCCTTACCCGAGAGCTGGAAATGCAGGAACCCTGAGCTGAGACAAGAGCCACCTGCCTAAGAAGGATGGTGGCAGACGGCTTCTGGGGAACAGCACTAGGAAGCATCGCTCTCCCCATTCTTCCTTGGTTCTGTTTTTCCTGTGCCTGGGTCCCTCAGGTCAGGGCACGCAGCTGGCCACAAGAGACAGGTCGCAGTGGGGTTCAGGGGCCAGGGAGCTGGCTGTCTTCTCTGAGAGTCCAGAAGCTGTGCCAGGCCTCCTGCCCCAAGGAGATGAAGCCCAAGGGGCCGCCAGGTGACCCGAGTTTTTTGGAGGAGGTGCTGGGTTCACTTGACCACCCACAATGTCATCAGATGTCAAGATTTCACCCCCCTGAGATTCTGATCCCCAGATGTTGAGCCACGGTCCTGCAAAGTACACCATGGCCAAAGCTTTCTCCAAGCAGAGGCACTGGCCTTGCTGGCTTCCTCAAGGCCAGGAGCACTTTCATGCTCATCTCGAATCTCGTCATCTGACACCTGGAGATCCCCTCGCATCTCCAGGCAACACTGCTTTGGTCTGACCCCCCCCCCCAAAAAAAAACCCATGCGGAGGGTGATTCCTTGCTGTAGCAATGTTGGGAGGTGGCAAGGAATTAGGAACTGGGTGCAGTGATGTACACCTGTATCCCAGTGCTCAGGAGGCTGAGGCAGGAGGATGGAGGTCAACCTGGGCCACACAATGAGACTCTATCTCAGAAATAGAGAGAAAGAGAGAAAGGAAGAAAGAAAGAGAGAGAGAAAGAAAGAAAAAGAGAGAGAGAAAGAAAGAAAGAAAGAAAGAAAGAAAGAAAGAAAGAAAGAAAGAAAAAGAGAGGCAGTTAGGACACAGAGATTCCCGTTTCATGGGGGATTAATATAATTTCCACTGCAGCAGGTTGCTAGAAAGCAAGTCTCCTTCTCTTCCTTCTGTGCCTGTTAGCTTTCTGCTTTCTGTGCATGAGGCCCTGATGAGGCTGAGTAGATGGTGGCCCTGTTCTCGTGGACCTTCATGACCAGGAGCCTAAAAAAACCTCTTTTCTTTATAACCGATCCAGTCTCAGGTATCACATTTTAGCAACAGAAAACAGACTAAACGACAGACAGCATGATTTTGGCAAACACTAGGTTTGACTGTTAATAAAAGAAGCATGGGGGCTAGAGGTTTAGCTCAACAGCATGAGTACCTGCTTGGGCAAATGTGAGGTCGTGAGTTCAATCCCTGGTACCAAAAAAATAAAAAAAAAGCAGGATGAGTTAGAGGGTTCCATTCCACTGGATTGTCCACTTCTGCCATTAAGAATCCAGGGAGTGGCTGTCAGTGGGTAGAAGCTGTTGACAGGTTTCTAAAG